TGTCCCATTAGAGTCTGTCAGCTACGCAGATCTAAAGAAGCTATTGAAGGAGCACTTCCAGCCCAAGATGTCCATCATCGCATGGCGCCACACCTTCGAGCAGAGAGATCAACGATCCGGAGAGTCGGCCAAAGAATACATCGCTGCATTGAGGAAGGCCACCAAGCACTGCGAGTTCAAGGACCTCGAAGAACGACTGAGGGACCGATTCGTGTGCGGCTTAAGGCATCGAGATCTACAACAGAGGCTTTTCGCCAAAGAAGAATTGTCCTTCCAAGATGCCTTAAGAGAGGTCACCGCAGAAGAAGCAGCAGACGGCGCCGTCAAAAACATGCGGCCGATCAGGAACAGTCCAGATGTTGCATCCGTGCACCAAGAGGATGTCCAAGGGAACTCCGAGGAGGATCCGGATGAGGAAGTTGACCGTCTCCACCCCACGAAGGAAGGGAATCAGAAAGGAAGCTCTGCAGTTCCCCTCAAGTGCATCGGCTGTGGAGGTCGCCACAGGAGAACCGACTGCAAGTTCCGCTCCGCTATCTGCCGGGCGTGCGGGAAACAAGGACATATTGCAGATGTGTGTCTGGGCCGACGAAACGTACAACCTCAGGAAGAACTGCGCCTGAAAGGTACCAGGGTCCCCAGCCAGAATAGGGTAGGTTTTTGCGCTTCGCGAAGAAGCATCTTCAGGACAGGCACACACAAGCCCATCAAGAAAAAGCTGTCACTCAAGGTGAAGCTACAAGGGGTTCCATTAACTATGGAACTAGACACGGGGTCTGCCCTTTCAATCAGATCCTTACATACATTTAGGAAGATTTGTTCCGGCAGTGGAACTCAGGCTAAATTAAGGCCTTCTGACATTGTGTTAACAGACTTTCAAAATTCGAGAGTGTGTGTTAAGGGGGAGGCCACCCTTAACGTACAGTATAAGAATTTTGAAGGTCCACTAGACATATTAGTAGTAAGGGGTGAACGAACGAGTCTCATAGGACTCGATTGGTTTGAAGCCTTGGGGATACACATCACGGGGCTGAACAGCTTAGAAACACTCGACCTACAGGAAGTCTGCAAAGAATTTGCAGATGTCTTCAGCCCCCAGCTGGGCATATTCAAGGGACCTCCTGTGTCCTTAAAACTAGACCCCACTGTCACACCCATTAGAATTAAAGCAAGAAGGGTCCCTTTTGCTTTAAAGAGTAAAATTGACACTGAGTTAGACAAACTGATCCAACAGAGAATCCTAGAACCTGTTGATTCCAGCCCTTGGGAGACCCCCATTGTCACGCCTCTAAAGGCAAATGGGGACATTCGCATTTGTGCTGACTACAAATGCACTCTTAATAAGGCATTGCAGCAACATGCCTATCCTGTTCCTGTGGTCAGTCATATTCTGGCCTCCCTCAAGGGAGGGCGCGTTTTTGCAAAGCTTGACCTAGCTCAAGCGTATCAACAGCTGCCTGTTGATGCTGCTGCTGCTATAGCTCAGACTATTGTGACCCACAGGGGAGCCTTTAAGGTAAAAAGGCTACAGTTTGGAGTGAATGTTGCTCCTGGGATTTTCCAAAGCGTAATGGAAAACACACTACGGGGCATACTGGGGGTTTGCCCCTACTTTGATGATGTCTTAATTGCAGGAGACTCCACACACATTCTAGCTGAAAGGCTAAGGGCTGTTCTGTTAAGATTCAGGAAAACAGGCCTCAAGCTCAAAAAATACAAATGCAAATTGGGGTGCTTTCTACTGAATTTCTGGGATTCAAAATTGATGCTGCTGGGATTCACCCTGCTGAATCCAAACTAACTGCCATTTTAGAAGCACCTAGGCCAAAGTCTAAGGCCGAGCTTCAGGCCTTTCTGGGCCTCCTGAATTTCTACAATTCCTTTCTTCCACATAAAGCTAGTGTAGCTGAGCCTCTTCACAGGCTATTAGACAAACAAGCAGTGTGGCAATGGTCACAAACACATGAGGCTAGTTTCAATGAGGTCAAGGCCTTACTCAATTCTAACAGTGTACTTGCACACTTCAATGAGTCCCTTCCTGTGTGCATCGCTTGTGATGCTTCCCCTTACGGGGTAGGAGCTGTCCTGAGCCACCTCAGGTCTGATGGAACTCAGGTTCCTGTTGCATATTACTCCAGAACACTGTCTTCTGCTGAGTGCAACTACACTCAGATAGACAGGGAGGCTCTGGCTATTGTTGCTGGAATTAAAAAATTCCATGATTTCTTGTATGGCAGGCATTTCACGGTCTTCACTGACCATAAGCCTCTGCTGGGACTGTTTACCACACGTAAACAAACTCCCCAAATCAATTCCCCTAGAATGCTTAGGTGGTCTATTTTTCTGTCTGCATATGATTTTTCCTTACTCCACAAGCCTGGGAAAGAAATGGGCCATGCTGATGGCCTCAGTAGATTGCCCCTGCCAGTAGTAGAAGCTGACCCTGCCCCAGCTGTCAACATTCTATCAATCCAAGCCTTGCCCGAGTCCCCTCTGAATGCCAGGGATGTCGCCGCTGAAACAGGCACAGATCACACACTTTCACGTGTCATTTCTTGGGTTTTGTCTGGATGGCCTGAGCACTGCCCTAGTCCTGAGTTTCAGAGTTTTTGGTCCAAAAGGAACGAGTTGTCCACTTCTCAGGGTTGTCTGCTTTGGGGAAACAGAGTTGTCATTCCCACCTCAATGAGGACTAGGATCTTAGAGTCCCTCCACGAGGGTCATCCTGGCATTGTTTGCATGAAGGCCCTTGCACATAGCCACTTGTGGTGGCCTAGTTTAGATAAGGACATTGAGGCTAAGGTGCATGCATGCCACCTGTGCCAGCGCTCTCGCCCAGAGATGCCCCAAGCTCCTGTGCATAGATGGGAGGAAACACAGTCCCCATGGTCTAGGGTGCACATTGACTACGCTGGACCCTTTCAGGGCCAGTTCTTCTTGGGCCTTGTTGACAGCCATTCGAAATGGCTTGAGGTTGTACCTGTCTCATCCACCACCACTGCAAAGACTATTCAGGTACTGAGGGGGATTTTTGCTGCACACGGGCTCCCAGATGTCATCGTCTCTGATAACGGCCCTCAATTTACTTCCTCCGAATTCCAAGCTTTCTTACAGGCTAACATGATTTGTCATGCCACGTCTGCACCCTTCCACCCGTCCACCAACGGTATGGCTGAACACATGGTCTGCATCACAAAGGACGCCTTGAAAAGACTCACCTATGGGGACTGGCATCACAGGTTGGCTGACTTTCTCCTTTCTTACCGTACCACACCGTCCACTTCTACAGGGAGAAGCCCAGCTGAACTTCGCTGGGGGCGCAAACTTACTACGAAGCTTGACCGGTTGCATCCGGTTGCATGCCTTCATCTACCTCACATCCTAGGGCACCTAGACAACTACTTGTGGGTGCCCCGGTTTGGACTCGCAATTACGGGCCTGGTCATACATGGGTCCCCGCTTCTATTTCCAGGGTCACAGTTCCTCTCTCCTATGAGGTAGCCCTGGACAACGGTCGTGTCCTGCGTCAGCACATCGACCAACTCCGCCCTAGGCGGGACCTTTCAGATGAGACTCCTGGGTCTTTTCCAGGGGGGAGGGGGACCCTTTAGAGCAAAGGGAGGGGCATGAGCTGCTGCCCACCTCCAATCATGGAGCCACAAACGGCCCATTCCAAGATTCCGCGAGTGCCCCAAACAGGAATTCTAAGAGCCTATCCAACTACCAGGCATTCACGCCTACTCCAGCCAGGGAGTCACCCCGGGGGTACAATCACTATTCACCTGCACAGCACAGTACTCCAGTCAGTGAGGATACCCGGGAGCATCCCAATAAATCATACCCCACAAGAGAGCTGGCACATAATCCCCAGAGTTGGCCTGACCTTACCCCAAGTCCTACAGGGGGTCAAACTTACAGGGAGGTGGTCGAGGAACCAAGTCCCGACCGCAACACCTCTAGCCCACATCCGGGAGTAACTGAGTTTTGGGAAGGTACAGAGACCCACACGAGCCCGGACACAGAACGGGGCTTAGGGATTGGACAGCCTCCTGACAGGTCTTGGACGGACCTAGGAGGTTCTATAGAGACGCCCAGCAGTGGCTATCACTTCAAGGGGCCCGAGGGCCGACAGCTAGGCAGGTCAACCAGGTCACAAAGTGACAGAAGCCCTGGCCTGACGAGCCCAGTGGGCGAGCAAGCAGGTCAGGCATAGGGGCACAGTCCTCGGAAGGCACCAAGGCATGATAAGGGGAACAGGCTCACGTCTCCCCTCAGTCAGGGATCACCTGTCAGAAACCCAGAGCTGAGAAGGTCACAGAGAGCAAGGAAATCTCCTAAATACTTAGAGGATTACATAACATTCCTGGCCAAACAAAAGCCAGTAAACAGTAGGAGCACTGGGGAGTAGAACACTGCATCAAGAAATAATTGTATGTTGGTAGTAGTCTTAGCCCGGGGGAAAGGGGTGTTATGTCCTGAGCCTTGCAAACGGGCTCGGGGCGTTTGCAGGCAGTCCCGGGCAGGTGCAAGCTGCCCGGGACCAGACAGGCTGTCGCCAGCGCCTGTGCGCATGCGCGGGTGCTGGCGCGGGAAAAGTAACACATTGACCCGGGAACTGCCTATATAAGGGACTAGGAGCTTTTGGGCGTTGCTGAAGCCTTCACTTGTAAGCTGAACACAGAATAAAAGGAAACCTGAGAACTACAACTGCTTCTCGCGTCTGCTTTTCGCCAAGGACTCAACAAGAACTATTTCCTGTTTTGAGACTATTCTTCTTAGAAATCTTCATTATGGCTAATTTTCTACATAAGCTGGAACCTTCCAGAAAACATCTTTACCTTTTTGGCTGGGTTGAATGGATCTCCTGTATGACATTTTTATATCTATCCATTTAAACATTTACAGAAATAGTACGAAATAAATTTTGAGACAAAAATACCATTGCTTTAATAAATAAAATTCATAGTGTAAATGGAAAATTGTCAAAAACACCACAGATATCTTGAGTCTTTCAAAATGCTTAATTTCCACTGTCTCTGTGATATGCACCTCATTTGAAAACTTCATTTTAGTCCAGTGTTGGTAGCACTCAAGGATCCAAGATGAAATTATATGAATTATACATGCATCCTCAAGAACAGCCATTCATCTGCCTTGCTTCATCAGGTGCTTTCTCCTTGATTAGCAAAAATCTCCCTCTTGCTCTGTGCCTGCAGAAGCAAACAAAGCAATGAATCAGAACTATAGCAGGCAATGAAAGGAAAAACAGTTCACTGACTCCCAAATGAAGTATGTAATTTCAGTATAATAGCAGATGTCAAACCTTTTACAAACAGCAGATAGATGAGTGAATGTTGGAAAAACAGTTCTTCAGTGCACAGATAGCAACTCTTGGGACTTCCATTAATTAAGCTTCTAAAACCAAGTGAGATGAAATAGAATTAGGATTTTGACAAAGGAATTATTGATGTGCCATCTAAGGCTGTTATGAATGAGGTCACTGGAATGAAAATCCTTTAAAAATTCTCAGCAATGGTTAAAAATATCCACCAGACTTCAAATGGAATCAGCAGTGAACACAATGAATACATTAGAGCAGGTTTCTGTGTGTGGATCAGGAACTTCATACACTTTATTATATATACATTCTACCATTTCTAGATCAGAAAGAAAAAATATTTATATTTTAGGGTTAGAAGTCACATAAATCTCCATTTTGTTCATGAACTGAATAAAAAGAACTATGAATAATTCAAACACAGGAGGAAAATTATGAAGTTCAGTATTCTTGTGGCAATAGCTATTGTTTTGATTCTAACAAATCAAATCATTTGTTATATTATTTTCCCTGACCAATACATTTTTTGTACTTTTATAAACTTGTAATGTGCTATTTAATTACAGTTGCTTTCTTGGATCGCTTTTTTAAGAGTATGTTTTGAATTCAGTTGAATTTACCTTAGGTAATCGGTTTGCTGCCAATCAGTGTAAATGAACCTTCTCTAATGCTGTTGAAAAATTCTGTAGTTTGAAATAAGGAAGAAATAAATAAAGAAGCAATAAAGAAGATGGACCAGCATTTTGACCTCACTAAATCAAAATTTTAAGAAATAAATATTATGGAAAAAGCAATTCATTTTTTTTATCCTCATACTCTTGGGATTAATACTGGTAAGATATGAAAGGTTTTGTTAAGCTAATAATAAATTGTGTACGTCAAGATGATCAGTGAAATACTAAAGTCAAGTGATTTTTTAGTTGGCAAGTGAGTGTTGCAGAAGGGGACAAAGTGAGTCAAACACAAAATTAATTCGGCTGTTTCTATTAAGATAAAGTGGAACAGTAGCTGTACAAACATCCAATTACATTTTTTTATGCTCTGAATTTCAAAATTACCAGGAGAATCTGCTGACAGGAAACAAGTGCCATGTTTTCATTTCAGTTATTCTATCCAACCAATGCAATTGACTAGCAGCAAAGTGGTGGCCAGGTTAAAAAACACCACCACAATTGGTTAAAAAAAATTACCAGCCAATTGGCTTTCTTTGTGCCTCATTAAACTTCTTGACTGTGCTGTCTCTTCCGCAGTGATAACACATAGGGCAGTAAGGAAATCATGGTGTAGCTTTCTCTATTTCACTTTCATCGCTACCTTGTTTTATATGCGAAGTTTTTTTAAAAATTTTTTTAATACAATCAATTCAAATAGTGCATCTTCTAAAAGTTATACAGGAACACACTTAAAAGCAGAAAAAAATAGTCTTAAAGTAGAAAAATGAAAACCCAAACAAATCACTCCCTCCCTAACCCAACCCTCCAGATATTTTCCGTGATTTTCCCTTGCTTTAAATCTGTGGTCTATTTATGCATGCATAACATCGTCTATCAACATTTTTAAAAAAATGTATTGATGACATGAGACTTGGGAGGGTCTGACTTCCCCACTGCATTTTTTTGGTGAGAAGATGTTTTCTAAATCCCATTTATTCAGAGGAAAAACATGTGTGAGGATTGTTCTGATTTTTTGTACCCCTATTATGTTACACAAATTGATTTAGGCTTCTTATCTCCAATTCTTTAGCTGGGAGAAAAAATAATGTGGTTTTTCTGCTATAAACTTTGTGATCAAAGAAGAGAATAAGTTTTGCTTCTGTATAAAGTAAGGAAGATTGGGCAGAATAATAATGATTGGTCAATGTTACTTGCTAAGCATTTTTTAAAAAGTGCAGATTTGAATAGATATATTCCCTGTATTTCATCTGATTCTTTATTTGTCAAATGAAGAGTATTAACCAGATAACTTAGCATTAGTGTCAGCAATCAGTTTCAGTTTTCTTGTAAACCTGAGTTTCATTCTTATACCTGGAGTACAGTTGACACTTCCAATTATTTGTGGAAGAGAGGAAATTTGTAAGAAAGCATAATTACCAACCTCCTAACTGAAAAACCTCTGAGAACCTTTCATATAACACCAGAGTTCACTGAAGGAAATTTTGCAAAGTAGTGAGCATATTCCTAGGAACTAAGCAAACAACCTTTAATTTTAAGGGTTGATTTATTCATCCACTTTTGATATTAGTTTCCTGGGGCTTATATAGATTTCTTAACACTAGAGGGAGCCAGACAACTATACTGAGTGAATGCTTTCTAGAATGAAATACTGTACCATAACACCAAAACCTATCATCTAGTTAACAAGAATGAACAAAATAATTTGAATAAAGCATCGCTGCTGGAAACTACAATATGGAAATATATGAAGGCAGCTGATTCACTGCTCACAGTTCTCCTTGTATTCCTTTGGACAGAGATCATCTAGCATTATTTCAAGACCTGGGTGGAATCCAACACAAAATCCTTAGTGAAAGGAATCTAGATAATAAAAATATTATTCTTGTCAACTGGCTATACACAAGACAACTGGGATTTCATGCCCACAGGAAAAAAATACTTTTTGAAAGAGATAGATTGAAGGCAAACCTTTGAAGAACTACAGGATCCTGAAATGGCGTCCTCCACATTTTTTTAAATAAATATTGATAAGATTAAATGACAATGGGAATCTACCCATTGTCTATTATATTTATAGAAGGAAGGGAAAATGAAGTACCTCAAAGAGGCTGTTGAATGTTGCTGATTGCCTGTGGCTCAAGAAACCATGGAAAGTTGTATTGCCTAATGCTGGGAAAGACTGAGGGCAATAGAAGAACGGGACGACAGAGAATGAGATGGCTGGATGGAGTCACTGAAGCAGTAGGTGTGAACTTAAATGGACTCCAGAAGATGGTAGAGGACAGGAAGACCTGGAGGAACATTGTCCATGGGGTTGCGATGGGTCGGACACGACTTCGCAATTAACAACAACAACAACAACAACAAAGGTACAATACTGTGTTTCCCTGAAAATAAGACCTAGCATGATTTTTCAGGTTGCTCGTAATATAATCTCTACCCTAAAAATACACCCCAGTTAAGATCATCAGCCAGATGGACATATTTAGTACCGTATTTCCCTGCAACTAAGACCTAATAGGAAAATAAGCCCTAATGCATTTTTTTGGAGCAAAAATTAACATAAATCCAGTCTTATTTTTGGAGAAACATGGTAGATAGGAGTTATTTCCCTCTCTTCTTGTGACCCTGCAGAAGACTGATTCCTAATCCTTTTTGTTAAGCCTCCCTCCTTTTTTGGGTCCATAATAATAATATACATTAATCATTTTTGTGCAAACATTTTCCTTAGGCCAGGGACTAATATAATAGCATGTCTTGGATGTCCTTGGATGTCTCAAGATATTTGGGCTGGTAAAATCCAGACAACTATTAATGTCAGCAAAAGTAAAGTTTTCACTATCGCTTTTGTTGCCATTGAGTGGTTGTCCAGATTTTTGCATGCCAGGTCAACCTAGCCCTAAGATACTGGGCCTATGGTGTCCTTGAATTTTTCAGCAGAAAAGTCCTTTTTAATGTATTTTCCACCTGATCATTTAATTTTGTTGGAGAAGGGGACTAGAAGGTGGTGGAATAAATGTTAGCTCAGTGAATAAATTGCTGCATCACTCTAGGCTGCATGGTTTGAACGAGCAAATCCAGTGGGAAAGAGAGAGTAATTGTGAAATAAATGCTCATAGGAAGGGAATGAGCACTTCTTCCCCCACCCCAACTACTACATTTGAAGCATACCCAATTGTTGTGAATAAAGGGGAAGTTAGTGAGATGTTCTTTCTTATCATATGTTTAGGAAGGTAGTAGAAATGGTGGTACCATTACTGAATGATCAATAATAAAAATTCATTTCCAGCATGGCAGTAGTTCTTTAAGAAGATGGGATCTTTCAGGGAATCAGGGCCCAAACTATAATATCTATTTTAGATATGAGCTTAGATATAAATACCATCAATAACATATATTTATAGACTGGTTGCTATTTAGGTCCAGCTTTATCAGTTGAGATCCAACTAATCTGTGAAAATGAACATCTTTTCTTCAGTTATGGTGACATATTTAAACTGAACAAAGGAGCTGTCAACGCTGCAAATATTGTATATCCTTGCTTTTGACAATATGCAGAATTGTCTGGTAATTATGGGGTTAATACAGAGCAGAAGGGGGGTTGGGGGTAAAGCCCTGGGAAAGAAAGAGGAAGAAAACATTTGACCTTCACACTAATTGGATAATGTGAGATATGACAGCTAATTTAGGGAAGAAACATGCTGATAATTTAACTGCTCAGAGGAAGAGAACTTAGATCCTAGCATCCCTCCATTGTGCCTGTGCCGACATTTTGTAAAAATAAAAGACTTTTAGGAAAATAATGCCTGGAAGTTCTTTGAAATGTTTCATTAGCCGGAACCATAACAGGAGCTTTGTTACAATTACTACTAGTAGCAATTGGATGAACTCCAGTGAGCTGATATGGACTTGTCGTAAAGATAAAATCTATAATTGTCAACTTATCATCTTGGACAAACTCTGATTATCAGAATGTTTCCTGAAGGCAAAGCAGAATAAAGATGTTTAACTATTTAGTACTATGGAGCTTAGGAATCAGATACCTAAAAAAAATATTGTTTCAATATCAGGTGCAAGAGCTTATTTGGTCTAGTGGTTAAGGCACCTGTCTAGAAACTGGGAGTGTGAGTTCTAGTCCCACTTTCAAGACAAAGCCAGATGGATGGGCTTGGGTCAATCACTACTGTCTCAACCCTGGGAATGAGGCAATGACAAACCACTTCCAAAATCTTGCCAGGAAAACTACAAAAGCTTGTTAGCATGGACTTAGAGGCATCCACACATACAAAGTATTCAGGTTATATAAGGTATGCTACTTCTGTCTAATAAGGCAGGCAGCAAGCCCAAAAGGGGCATATTATACAGTAATGTTTTTCAATCTTGGCAATTTTAAGATGTGTGGACCTCAGCTCCCAGAATTTCCCAGTCATTCCCCAGCCTGCAAGTTATAAACAGCTAAGTGCATAAAATGAAAAGGGAACAGACTTTATTCATTGCTGAATAATAAAAGTGGTTACCTAGGCTCACAAAAAATAATGGTGAATTTCTTTTAATTCACTGTTAAAAGGTGTATTCTTTTTTTAAAAAATAGGCTTTGGTTATTTTTATTCTTATAACCTCTGAAAATTCTAATCAGTTTTTGGACTGAAATAAGTTAGAATTATTGAACGAACTTTTCCATATGCCCAAGCCAGATGGAAAAAAGGCACATCACTTTCTGGTTTGTATAGGCCAGCGGTTCTCAACCTGTGGGTCGTGACCCCATTTGGGGTCGAACGACCATTTCACGGGGGTCACCAAACAACGCAGTCCGCCATTTTTCCCCCTTTTTCTTAGCTGTGCTACTCCCTTTTATTCTATTGGCTTTTGAAAGCCAATAGAATAGACTCTCTTGAATAGAGTCTAATTCTATTGGCTTTCAAAAGCCAATAGGAATTGTCCAGGCTGTCTGTGTCCTGCTGAGCCCGCCAAAAGTCCCATTCTACAAATGGTGCTGCAA